CAGAAGTCTCTAGAGTGTTAGACATAAAAACGCCGAAACCGTTCTGTATTATGGCTTCGTAGACTGATCTTTCGTTTAGATGGTAGGAGCGTGCATGACGGACCTGGTTTCGCTTTCCGAGACGCAACACGGCATATTAGTTTCCGTCGAATGGCAGGAGCCCTCTGCGGAACCAATCTTCTTATCGACAAAGTTTTGCTTGGAAGTCTACTTAGTGGATTTCTGTGTGGCTTATTTTCTTGATCGTGATATCATCCACAAAACTGGCACATTCGCAAACTGATTTTTGCATCTCTTCAGTTCCTCCGCCGTCTGATGCTTCCCTCACAAACACTAATTTTGCCCCTGCACATATTCATAAGCTGAGAAGCCAACTTTCTAACTTGCACTAAGTTGGAGCTGACAACATTACGAACTCTCTTATTAAACAACTAAGAGATTTTTCTCCTCTGTTTGGCAAACTGTTCTGAGTCTTTCTCGAGAATAATCCCCTTGCAGACTGATGGAAAACTTCTATTATTATACTAGTACTTAAATCTGACTGTCATTCGGATGTTCAAAACCATCGAGTTGTCCATAAAAAAACTTCTCTTGATAAAATCTTTAAAAAAATTATTGTCATGAAAGTTACTGACTTTGTATAACCAATCATGTTATTTGCTTTCTCCAACATGGTCCTTACCCGATCTCTGTTTGGAAATATGAAATATGTCGTTTATCAATCTACTTATTTCTTTTAGTAGCGATTATTTAGCTGTGGTCGTTATTTACTTCGATCTTAGTAAAGCCTTTGATAAAATACCATGTATAAGACCATCAATTAAATTAGAAGCTCTAGGACCCTGCAGTCCCCTTATTGACTTTAGTAAATCATAACTATCTGATCACGAACAAAAGGTTTTGGTGCGATCTTCATTTTCCAGTGAGATCCCTGTTGTAAATATTGTCCTACAAAGTACCGTTTTAGGTCCTCTTTTGTTTCTGTTTGACATTAACGACATCTCGTCGGCAGTCAAGCATTCTTAATCTTTTATCCATGCTGATGACCACACATGCGTATTTCCTTCAGTAAACCTACTACCCGACATTTCCTGGAGCAAATCCATGCTGATTTGCTTGCCCTCTCAGCTCAGTGCGCAGTATAGCTAGTGTACTTCTCTCCATCCAAATTTTGTTACATGTGTCTTCGACCTGAAATGCCTTCCCAGCCATTGGGCTGTCAAGGCCCACCTATGACTGAATGTGCTACCTTCAAAGACTTAGTTTAAACCTATTCCAATAATCTAGATCTCTCGCCACACGCCAATCGAGAATTACGATCCAAGTCGTCCAGACATGTGGTTTTATCTCTCACAAGTAAAATCATCCTCAAATTAAATTGAAACTTTGCCAAACGTTTGTACTTCGCATTCATGAATGCTGTTCTCCATTTTTTGGTTTGATGAAAGAAGCTAGTCGTTCAAAACTTGAAAATGTCCATGGACATTTCACTCGAAGAATCTAAAGCACGGCACATTAAAATATATCGAGCGCAGGAATATCAACGCGCGCAGCAAGATTTTGAAAAGAGTAGTGAGATTTATATATTTGAATTCGATTTCTTAGTCTCTTACAAAGTTTTCCAGTGTAGATCTGGCAAGATTTCCTAGTTTTTGTCATAAATCATCTCAACTACCCGTGGTTTTTTTCGATTTATCAAAAAGAGGAAATAAAGTGCCACAGTTTCTCATCCATCATAGCCTCAGTTCTGTTAAGTTTTACCCACATATATAAAAGGTTTTCCTCGTAAAATCTAGAATAACATTATAGTTTTGTTAGAGACAAACCCACTAGTTGGGCACAGCGAGTAGGCTATCCAGGAAACGAAAATAGCAGTATCCCAACAGTTACAAACTAGTAAATAAGAACAAAGTCGTCAGCAGGTAAATGTGCACGTGCGTGTTCTTTGTCTTATTCAAAGTTGTGTCAAAGCGTATAGTTACTGATTAAAACAAAACAGACTTAAATGTCACTACAGTTTAAACAATAAACCGTCCCCACTGGCAGCTCTTATTGTCAATTTACTGACAAGTAAGAGGACTATACTGTTCTTTATTTTATCCTACATAGCCTCATTATCCAATACAGATTAACTAGCAGTTTTGTTTTGCTACCTACGAAGTTGTCATTTACCTGTTTTTTTATTTTGTATTCTGTTATTGAGTAAAAATTGCTTGGTATGAATTATGCTGTCTGGTCCACCAATATTGATAGCTTTCATAAATTGTTTTATCATACATAGCCCCATCCTTATATCCCCGAAGTTCCGGCAGCTATCATCACTATAAATTTAGACTAAAGTCTTGTTTTGCTTTTTCGACATGAAACCTCAGGCAACCCTTCATCGAAATTTGAAGGAAACTAAACTCCATTTGAAACCCATTGTACATATGGAAAAATAGACCTAGGAGCAGTCGATAATTTTATCAATTTTATGTCTCGTTACGGATCCATTTTTCTGTTCTTGGTGCCCTTCTTGAAGAAAAGTTGCCAAAACTTACGTCTCAGCAATGCGAGATGCTCATGCCTCTCTGTGACCTGGTTGTTAGTGAGACCGAAGACAGGCAAAAACAAAGTTTCATCTTTATTCAAAAAAACTCTCCTAAGAGCAGACAGCCCATCGATGTCGCTTAAATTTCTTTATTCTTACGGCTTCAACTTTAGGGTCGTTGGAGCTAAAGGACGTTCATCTAGAAGCAAAAGTCCACCAATTCTTGTCAAACTATTTTCGTCGACAGAAGTGGACTTTATTTTCTCTCATTTGGGTCGCTCAGCTAAATATCTTTGGGTAAATAAACTTTTTATTAGTCGGGACAAAACTCCAGTGCAACGAAGAGTTTCTCCACCATTAACAAATTTAAAGCCACCCCAGAATTATACTCATTTGCCATTTGCATCTAAAGCAGATTCCACATCCGGTGTCAACCAAATCACCCCTATCTGCAGCGGCCCCAATTCCATTTAGCTCCTCAACTGAGCACATTATCATCGGGCCAGTTGAAATCAGTCACATTAAAACGTCCCCAAGAAGCAGTGATTGCTCAAATGCGGCTCCCGAATCTACAAGGGAGCTTGATCATAACAGTAAAGATGGGCCAGTCCTAGGAGCACAACCGACCTCCAGTTCTCAGAATAATGAATTAGTTAATAAACCCGGATCGAATTCCTCCTGTTCCCGCGCCAGGACAGTCAGGTCTGACCTAGCGGTTCGGTCAAATAGGCCAGATGATAATGCAGGGAGATCGTTACCTGTTCTTATCCCGAATTCTCATCTTAACGTAAACACCCCAGTTGTGAAGCCCACTTCAACATCAGCCTGCTAAATGCAAGCACATAGCGTTGCTGATAATTTTTCCAACCCCACTGCTAGTCTGACACCCCAAATGATAAAGGCCTTTCCTAATATAAGTCGTTTCTCGAAATCATTACGTCCACTATTTAACATAAACTACCCCTAATCTCATGCTAAAAATTCACGAAATCCAATTTTTAATTCTTCCTTATTTGCAACCCCACAAAACAGCATTCCATAGCATTTTCTATACAAAGCTGCAAATGCAGTTAGCGGTAATTACCCCATAAATTTTAGACCACAGCAACTTTTTCTTCCATCAATTGCTCCGTTCCAACAGCTCAATATAAACCAACAACTCTCGCTTTTTGTAAGTAGCAATGAGCGGAACTTAAATAAAATTAATACGACCAATATTGTCTCTCTCAACGCAGATAGGACAATCAGTACAACCGATGTCTCATCAGCTCTCATAAACAAACACATAAATCGTTTGAAAAATTCACACTGCTCAGGAACGGACGGGTTTTCAAATTCCATTATTAAACAAGCATCCGAACACCCAATATTGCTCAGTAAATTATTCGCCGTTTATATTTCAAGGGGATTCTTTCCAGAAACACGGAAGACGTCAACTATCATTCCTGTGCTGATAGAAGATAACGGGAGAGTTCCAGGTAACAGATCAGAAGATGAAGACGCGAGCACTGGAACAAGAAATTTATTGGCCTGACGTTTCGGATTCTCACTCGAATACATCATCAGAGACATTCGCAAATAAAGGTGATGGTGGCACCAGTAGTGCAGTATTTATAGCATGTGGCTGCCGTGGGACCGTATGCGCACTGCAATTAACAGTTCTCGCAATCACCGCTGGGGTCGTAATTAATGCGGTGATGGCTTGTCGGTCCGAGTCCGAGTCGTTAATTGCCGTGATTCCGTCACCCGATCTGGATGCTGGTGTGACGATTGCTCGGCAAATTGGCTCACTGTCACCGTGATAATTGCTCGTCCGCGCCCTCCTTACGTGACTGATTCCCCTGCCCAGGGAAAATCGCAGCACGGAATATGGTACCGGGAGGTCATTGTGCTTGTTGATGGATTGCGGACCTGAGAACCATGACTCGGAGCAGCTCGCGGCTCACGTGGTTGTCACCCCTTGCGAGGATTTCGGTCTCTTGAAATTTGAAAATATGGCCTAGTCCCGTTGAGTGTGCCGCCACCTGAGAGTTATCGTCTCCCCGCCTCACTACTGCTGCTGCGTGCTCGGTAATTCGCGCACGGAGTAATCTCCCAGTTTCTCCGACGTAATGGCTTTGTTCGCAACTACACCAGATCCGGTAAACGACTACAGACGTCTCCTGCCGTGGCAGCGGGTCTTTTGGCTTCATGACTTGGCGCCTAATGGTTGCTCCCGGCCTGTTTGCAACCCCAACTCCAAGTGGAGTATGAAGACGACTGACGGCTTCCGAGACGCTCTTCGCGTACGGAAGAGCCCGCCAAAATTTGGGGTCCGTTGAATTTGGTCCCTGATGTCCTTTTCGTATGCATTGGTTGACAAAGTTGCGCGGGTAACCATTGGCTCCCATTACCCGTCGAAGATATTGAAATTCAGCAACCTTGTCTTCCACTTGACTACAGTTCGTCTCAACGCGCCGGTATAGCGTCCTTACGAACTGCATTCGTGACTGATCGGGTGGTTGCTATTGAAGTTCAGTATTTGCGTCGTATTTGTCGCTTTCCTGGACACTCTGGTTTTTAAGCCACCACACTCTTTGAGGCAGAAGAGGACATCCAGGAAGGCCAGCTGACTGTTTTCCTTCTCCTCCATCGTTAACTGTATGTCCGGGAAGACGGCGTTGAGATGATCTTTGAATGTCAGCACCTGAAACCGTTCGATGACGACGAAGGTGTCATCCACATACCGAGCCGAGAATTTCGGTCTCTCATGTCGGAAAACCAGCGACTCCTGCTGTTGTAGGACCGCCTCGGCTATGAGTCCCGAACTCGGAGAACCCATTGGCGTTCTCTTCACCTGCTCGTGGATTGTTCCGTCGAACGTAAAGCACGTCTTGAGACAGAACTTCAGGAGTTGGATGATTTGGGCGTGTCCGAGGCGATTCTCCTTTTTGTCGTATTTCTCTCCTAGGAGTAGTTCGATGGTCTCGACTGCCAGGTCCTGCGGGTTATAAGCAAAAAAAGGACGTGACATCAAAGGAGACCATGACATCACTTGGCAGGAGACTTACTCCTTAAAGTTTCACCAAGAATTGCGTTGACGAGCTAACTGTGGTGGTTGAATCGGAGGTCAGAAACTTGAGGCGTTGGAACAGCCAATTTGTTAATCCGTATGTTGGATTGCCCTTTAGTAACACGATAGGCCGGAGAGGAGCGCCCTCTTTGTGCACATTTGGCAGACCGTAGAATGGGGCTAGGGCCGTTTCTTGTGCTCTCCCTATGCGTCGGTCGATTGGCGATATTGCACCTCAGTTCTCCATTGCCAACAGCGTCGCGTTAATCTCGCGTGTCAGCGTTTTTATGGGGTCGGATTCGCATGGGACATAGATCTGACCATCCTCCAACAAGATTTCGCCGACACGGCAGGAGACGTCTGTAGTCGTTTACCGGATCTGGTGTAGTTGCGAACAAAGCCATTACGTCGGAGAAACTGGGAGATTACTCCGTGCGCGAATTACCGAGCACGCAGCAGCAGCAGTGAGGCGGGGAGACGATAACTCTCAGGTGGCGGCACACTCAACGGGACTAGGCCATATTTTCAAATTTCAAGAGACCGAAATCCTCGCAAGGGGTGACAACCACGTGAGCCGCGAGCTGCTCCGAGTCATGGTTCTCAGGTCCGCAATCCATCAACAAGCACAATGACCTCCCGGTACCATATTCCGTGCTGCGATTTTCCCTGGGCAGGGGAATCAGCCACGTAAGGAGGGCGCGGACGAGCAATTATCACGGTGACAGTGAGCCAATTTGCCGAGCAATCGTCACACCAGCATCCAGATCGGGTGACGGAATCACGGCAATTAACGACTCGGACTCGGACCGACAAGCCATCACCGCATTAATTACGACCCCAGCGGTGATTGCGAGAACTGTTAATTGCAGTGCGCATACGGTCCCACGGCAGCCACATGCTATAAATACTGCACTACTGGTGCCACCATCACCTTTATTTGCGAATGTCTCTGATGATGTATTCGAGTGAGAATCCGAAACGTCAGGCCAATAAATTTCTTGTTCCAGTGCTCGCGTCTTCATCTTCTATTATTCCTGTCTTCAAGGCTGGATCTCGGTCCGATGTTGGGGCGTGCATTAAACACCGTCTCTAGCGAAGCTCCTTGAAATTCTCGACGTCTGTCCATCAAATCGGCTGCTGAGCTCTAGTCAGCATGGAGTTTTACCCGGCCGATCCTGCGAAACTTCCCACTTCGCTCTTCTTAATGTAATCGCTCCTCATTTTGATGAGCAGCAGTTAGTGGTAGTTATGTATTTTGATCTTAACAAAACCCTCGACAGGGTGCCGGATAGACGACTTTTGGTAAAATTGGAAGCCCTCGGCATCCGGCCGCCTCTATTTGACTTCATCTGATCCTATCTTTCAAACCGATATCAGAAAGTCATAGTCGGTGATAGCTACTCGACACCTCACTCGATCACGAGTGAAGTACTTCAAGGTACTGTTCTGGGTCTGCTACTCTTCCTTCTGTGCATCAATGCTATTTCGACTGAACTCGGAACTTCGCGATCTTTTATTTATTCCGATGACCTCAAGTTTGTTTACTCATACTCTAAGGACAGCGCAAACGTTTTTGTTGAAAATTTAATTCCGACTTACTACGCTTAATCAGATGGGGTTCGATATGGCAGATGGAGTTTTCATCATACAAGTGTAGTTTCATGTCTTTTGGTCCTGCCGAACTTCCTTGTCCCATAATTTTTATGAAAAACCTACTCGCAGAATGCTTCACCATAAAGAACCTAGGTTTGAGTTGTGCAAATAAACTTACTTTATCACCTCATGCAGATAGAATCTCTGACAAAGCCGCACAGATATGTGGATTCATATCGCATATTTTTTTCCTTCCGGAAATGAAGCCAAGACTTTATCAAACAACTGTTCATCCAATCCTCAAATACTGCTGTGCTTTCTTTGGTTTACTGAACGCCTGTGACCGCTATGAGATCGAAAATGTTCAGAGAGTTTTCACCCGGAAACTGTTCTCTCAAGTCGAACTCGGTACTTCTTATGATCAGAGATGCCAGCTGGCGAACATCAAGTTTTTGCGGGTTAGAAGACACAAAGCTGGCCTTTGCTTCCTTTTTCGCATTAAATCTAGCTCCAATCGTCCAATCGCCGCCTCCGATTGCCGAGGACGCTTTTAAATGACCAGAGGGGCAAAATACTCCGCACAGGCAGATGAACGCCACTCAGTGCTTATGATTGAAACGGACCTCAGAGTTTGCGTTAAGAGTGATGTCCCCCAAAACTCTGTTCTTGAACCTAATATGTCTCTTATGTCCATCAGCAACTGCGCGAACGAAATTGATTACGAGGCCGCAATGTTTGCTGCTTATATAAGGAACTTGAATGCTATAGGAAGTGAAGTCGAGGAAGCGCGATTGCAGACAAACCTAGACCGCCTTAAGCTACAGTACAACGACTGGCTTTTGACATTTAACGTAAATAAGTGTAACTTTCTATGCGTGGGCGGAATCAGTTCCCCTAACCACATGGCCAATCGTCAGATTGACAAAGTACGGCAATACGCTGACACCCAGACGGTTTTGATTGTGTGAATCATAACATAGCTCCAGCCTTCACTGCACTGCTTAGAGGTACGCAAGTCGACAATGTCCATCTTATACCTTGTAAAACGGGTGTTCTCTTCCTTCGATGAAGACTGTTTCGCTAAAGTATTTCAGGAATTTGTGCGGCCGAATGCGAGTTTTGCTACCCAAGCATTGAGACCCCGGACCACTAAAGACGTCAGCGTTCTCGGAAAAGTTCAACGGTGGGCTACCAAACTTGTAACTTGACAGGGCTCTCCACCATAAGGAACGCAATTCACTAGTTTTTATCCGTTTTCTACTAGTTAGAGGCAGCTGCGAGGGGACCTGGCACAAACTTGCTGATTCCAGCGCGATCAGGACTACTGCCTCGTATCTGGAGGCTTTGCTGTGTTGGCGACTACCAATAACCTGAGGGGTCATCCACTGAAACTACGTGTGACTGGTGCCGGGCTAGAAACGGGGGGTCTTCTTTTGCAGTGGAATGTCTTGCAATGTTTAGCATCCGTGGAAACTTCTAAAAAGGGACTGGACCAACATTGTAGCGGGCACCACAATGTTAGCCGACCGCTATATTCATGTTACTGTCCGCGACAAATTAAAGGCCCATAGGCTTGGCATACATTCTCAACAACGTTATGGTGAGGATTATGAAGAGTGAGTTGAAGCAATTCCTAGAAGTTCACGGCATGCTTTCGAGCTTCCAACATAGATTCTGAAAAGGAACATCTTGCATCAAAACTTGCTGAGATCTCTCCAGAGCTGGATCAGAGTTCTCAACAACAGGCACTTAGTCCACATTGCTTTCATTGACATCCAGAAGGCGTTTACTACTGTACCCCATCACAGGCTGAGAGAAATAGGGATACGAGCCACCTTCCTCATATAGCTCGAAAACTTCCTTGTAGGTCGACAGCAGGTTGTGTGCATCGGTCAAGGGAACTCGAATCTTGATGTGATCGAGTGGTTTTCCCCGGAGTTCAGTACTGGGGCCCATTTTTTTCTTAATATACGTGAACGATTGGGCAAGTGCTTTGGACAGCCGAGCAGCGGTGTTTGCCAACGAAATAAATATGGAGTGTAATTTGGCGTCCTGCCGACGAAGAGAGAATGCAGATTAATATAAATCGGCTGGAAGAGTGGTTAGAGCATTGGCTAATTTGGTTGAAATTTAGTAAGTGAAGCATACATCGACTAAGCAAGGCAGTCAAATCTACCTCCACAGCAGACTGCATTTCGGGCGCTGAAGCCCTGCGAGACGTCGAAGCCTAAAAGGACTTCCGCCTGCTGAGAACGAACTCAGTAAAGCCATCCACGCATCGTTTAATAGCGGCAAAAAGTGCAATGTCCGTAACGTACGCCATAAAGAATGCGCTTATGGATTTTGTCGAAGATGCATTCTCATACTTCCGGGACATTCGTGCAGCTGCGCCCGGAATACGGCATTTTACCCTGGAGACCGTGAGCGATTCAAGATCAAAATTGTCACGAAAGGGTCCAGATGAGAGCCACGAAAGTTGTTATGGCTTAAAGCTTCTTTTCTTACGCAACACGCCTAATAAATCTGAAGGGCTTCTCTACGAGTTAAAAGCAACTTCGCGGAGATCTCTTATGAGCCTTCCGCATTGTGAAGGGATTGCATTGCAGTCTAGCCTTTGAGGACTTATTGAATTTGCCCCTTCGACCAAACTCCAAGTTCACACGTTAAAACTTCGTACTCAGCAGACAGGGCTGGATGTGCGGAATTTCTGTATCTCTGTCCGAGTGGCCAAACCATGAAATGTCCTCCCTGCAAGTGTCGCGATTACACCATCAATACAAAGCTTTAAAAAGAACGCTAGCATATTAATGCTGCAAATGAACATGAGCGTTGGGAGACTGATCCCACTTCCCGAGACTCACCCTAAATTTGTCATACTATTCAGTCAGTCAGTGTATTTGAGGGAAACAGGACTACGCCTTTAAACTCCCTATTTGTACATAAAAAATCGATAAACAATCAAAAATGTGAAGAAATTACAGCATTAAGTGAATGCATACATTGATTCACATATGCCAATTGTCACATGGTTAAAAAGTCACATAGTCCGCTTGCTGCTGCAGCATATATCTGTCAAGGCGACATTTAAATGTCTTCACAGATTGAGACATAACAACCGTCTCGGGCAGGTTATTCCACGGTTCCACGACACGGTTGGAGAAGAAATATTTTCTCACATTCAGTCTAGCCTGTGGCACACGTAGCTTGAAGGGATGTACCCGGAGGTGAGTTGTAGTGGCGAGTTGGAAAAAGTCATCGCGCCGAAGGGCACAATCCAAGCCGCGCACGATACGGAAAGTTTGTATCATGTCTCCGCGCAACTGCCTATAACTCAGAGGATAGAGATTAAGGTTAGTTAGGCGGATCTCGTATGGCAGTGCACTTTGACCTCTTATTAATTTTGTTGCTCGTGTCTGCACCCTTTCGAGCAGATCGTAATCCTGATGCGTCCACGGTCTCCAGGCCTGAATTGCATATTCGAGATGGGGCCTTACAGACGTGCCGAAGACTTTGGACAAGCAGTCTTCATCGAAAACGACGAATGCCCGCTTGATGGCATAAAGCATTGACGTTGCGGCCTTGGCCGCCTTACAGCATTGTGTAGAAGGCTTTAGGCTGTCTGCAACCCAAACTCCGAGATCTTTCTGAGTTTCTGCATCTCGAAGTGGCATTCCGTTCAGATGGTATTGCCGCGTACTAGGGTTCTGATTTCCGAGGAGCAGAATGGTGCATTTGTTCAAATTGAAGGACAAGAGCCATCTGCGGGACCACTCGTCCAACCGACAAAGATTTTCTTGGAAGTTGGTCTCATCGGCAGCATTCTGGATTACTTTCCAGATTTTTATGTCATCCGCAAACATGGCACAATCACAGTCTAACCCATCTACACAATCATTGATGAACACGAGAAAGAGGGTTGGTCCGAGCACCGAGCCTTGTGGTACCCCACTCTCTATGAATGTGCACCTTGATTGCTGTTGTTCTACGCAGACAATTGGGGAGCGGCCGACAATTAAATTTTCGATCCATTTGAGAAGTTTGTCACCGATGCCCATAATTCTCAACTTGTGTAGGAGACGCTGGTGCGGATAACTTTCAAACGCCTTCCGAAAATCAATATAGGCAACATGCACGGTGCGTTTTGCGTCCAGTGATCGTGTCCAACTTTGCATTGTGTATAGCAAGTTCGTAACACATGATCTTCACCTACGGAAACCATACTGTGTATTGGACAAGAGGTTGTGGGTTTCCAAGTAAGCCATCAACTCCTTTTTCTTGGTTTTCTCCATCACTTTGCAGCAGATTGATGTCAGACTGACGGGTCTGTAGTTTGTCGCCAGGGCACGACTACCGCTTTTGTAAAGGGGTGTAATGTGGGCCGTCTTCCAGTCTGTGGGAACAATTCCAGCATCAAACGATTTTTGGTACAGAAAGGATAGTGGCTTGGCCAGCTGTTGGGCAAGCTCAAAGAGCAGCTTTGCTGGAATCTCGTCCGGACCGGGAGATTTACATTCTTTCAAGCTTTTCAGTTCTTCCAAAATCGCTTCTTCTCGAAACACAATATTTTTGATAGTGGGATCTCTCATGTTCTCGGAATTGTGGGCTCGTTCGAATTATTTCAGCCCAGACAGTTCCTCTCCACACCGAAACAAATTTTACGTTTTTAACATCGTACTGAAAGGCTCACGCCTATTTCCTTTAATAAACTGAGCTATATTAGACTGAATTTATTTCCTCCGAATTAAATGAGACTGGTAGTCATCTGATGGATTTGTGGCGGCCTTTCCAGGCCCTCTTTTCTTCAGCTGTGTTTTGTCGATTGATGGCCGCGAGAATCGCTGACACGCAGCTACCCCCGCCGGTTAAAAGCGGGCACCTCCAGTCCAACTGCAGTGACTCGCGGCTGCCCTCACAAAATTTCAGCATCTCACGCGCATCGGACTTTCTGGCTTAATAACAGTGAGCCCTTGTGAGTATGCGCACCCTACTCCTCCCATAACCCGTCCAGTCACATGACAAACACTCAACCAGTCACTCCCTCCTGCTGACACAGGCATGCACTCCCGCGTAAACAACACACCGCGACGGACGCTATCCGCGAACGGACGCTTAGTCCTGTCACAAGCAAACAGCAAACTTACGGCAACCTGCTTTATGTGCAGAATAAGGCAGTCCACTCAACACCCTGACTAGTGACATTAGACAAAACGAAATTATTGCGTGTGGTTTAAGTTGATCTTACGTCATCGACCGCCACAGATTCCAGATGTATTGCTTAGGAATTCCTGATTGCTCAGTCGGCTTACTGTATAAGGTTTGGTGGATTCCAGACTTTGCATTAGGTGGGGCGGGTAATCTTGACCCAAATGTGATTAAAATCGCGCCGTCCGGTGGGGCCTCTTATCTCAGATGGTTAGGGCGTTGGCTAAACGAAAACCTTCATTTGCTATCGTGGGTTCAAACCGCACCGAGATACCGAATATTTTACAATTGGGTTAAGGTGGATTATTTCCGTAGGTCAGTATAGGTCATTATGTTTTGAGGGCAATAGGCAATGCCTTTGAAAACCCTACTGAAAAAGGTACATGCAATATCAAACTTTAAAAAAACATGGTGCTAAACTTTTAGCAGGAATATAAACATTTTATAGCATATAGTGTTTAAAAATGCAGGACAGAGACTCGATAACACCCAGTCGTATATGACAACGGGAAAATGAATTGACAATCATCCGCATCAGTGGTAGGTGTATTCAAGGCGTTGGTTTGGTATATCAGAGCTCTTCTGCCAGGAGAAACGATATTTTTTCAAGCAAATACCTCCATGGAATCCACAGTTATCCCGTCCTTGGCAAACCCGCTCCGGCCACCGACGAATCGCTGTGAGAAAGAGTAACTGTGAACGGGCAGGATGCATCGGAATCCTCTAAGTTTTAGAGAGTTCCACGAAGGTGTTTTGCTGTGGCCAAGGTGAAAAAATTATCGAGGGGCGGGGAACAGTCCCACTTCCTCAAAATCCGGTACGCCTGTATGACATATCTACCTGTAACCAAGAAGAGATGGTTTAAACTCATCAAGTCTGCAGTTATAAGGTGAAGTCTTGAGACATTTTGCAATTTTGGTCGCTTTCCCCTGAAGTCCTTCCAGCAACTTGTAGTCTTTTTTCAGCCACAGGCGCAACGCTTGGATTCTATATTCCAGAGGCGAACAAATGAACGTTCCGTATACTTTTTCAAATAAATCTTTGTCATTATGCAAGAAAGTTTGTTAAATGGTAGAAAAAGCACCTGTTGCACTTTTGGCTGCGCTTAAGCACCGAGAGGAGGATTTAAGGGTCGACAAAGTGTTGATTCCAAGGTCCTTTTCGTTCGGTCACTTTTGAAAAGCACCTTCCGCCAGGTAGGTGAAAGCCGGTTGCCGTTCCGGTTTTGCACAGGAGACATTTCCCATACAAATGGCCGGAGCGGTAGAAGAGACGCTTGTCTAGATAATTTAATAAGTAGCCTTAATATGTAGTAAATAACTGCCCAGCATTTGTTGTAAAATCTCATTTCTCTGTTAAAGGCTGGTTTATGAAGTGCGCCACAGACGTGGACTGAGGAAGAAAGTGGACGTTAAACTTCGTTTTTCTATTTTTTTTGGAGGAATACGAGCCCTCGAAACTTCTCCCTTGAACTCAAAAAAATAGATCAACAAGAATGGAAGGTTGTGGAAGAAATTTCGCGAAAACAACAACAACGCAGCGTTCACAGAATATAAAGTCTAAAGAAATAAGGTGAAAAGCCTGATTTTCAAGAGGCGACGGGATTTCGAGAGTAATTTGCTTCACCTAGCCGTTAAAAATCCGAAATATCTCTACATCTATTTGCCGAAGAGCACACGTAACAGGAATCCCATTCCTGTCATGAGGAATGATGACGGTTTGGAGATATCGGACAGTACATATAAAGCACAGATTTTTTGTCAGTATTTCCAATCCGTTTTCACAAGAGAAGCAGACGCTACTCCATCTTGTTCTGAGAACATGGGAGATCTCATCATCGGAAATACTGTGTTTCGAGAAGAAGCGATTTTGGAAGAATTAAAAAGCTTAAAAGAGTTTAAATCTCCCGTCGGGACGAGATTCCAGAAAAGCTATTCCTTGAGTTTGCCCGACAGCTGGCCAGATCACTATCCTTCCTGTACCATAAATCGTTTGATGCTAGAATCCTTCCCACAAACTGAAAGACGGCCCTTATTACACCCCTTTACAAAATTGATAGTCGTGCTCTTGCGACAAACTACAGATCCGTCAGTCTGATATCAATCTTCTGCAAAGTGATGGAGAAAACCATGAAAAAGGAGTTGATGGCTTATTTGGAAATCAACAACCTCGTGTCCAATGCGCAATTCGGTTTTCGTAGGGAAGATCATTTCCGACGAACTTGCTATATACAATGAAAAGTTCGACAAGAGCACTGGACGTAAAACACACTCTGCACGTGTCCTATATTGATTTCCGGAAGGCGTTCGACAGGGTTCCGCACCAGCGTCTCCTTCACAAGTTGAAGATAATGGGCATCGGCGGCAAATTATTCAAATGGATGGGAAACTTCCTGGTCGGCCGCTGTTAAATTTTGCGTCGAAAGACAGCAATCAGGGCGCACATTCATAGAGAGCGGAGTTCCACAAGGCTCCGTACTCGGACCAACCCTCTTTCTCTTGTTCATCAATGATTGTGTAGATGGATTGGACTGTGACATTGCCATGTTTAAGGATTACAGAAAAGTCTGGAAAGTCATCCAGAATGCTGCCGACGAGATCAGCTTCTAAGAAAATATTTGTCGAATGGATAAGTGCTTCCGTTGATGGTTCTCATCCTTTAATTTCAACAAATATACCATACGGCGCCTCAAAAATCAGACCCCTAATACGCGGCAATACCATCTGAACGGAATGCCACTTCGAGATGCAGAAGCGCAAAAAGATGTCGGTGTCTGGGTTGCAGACAGCCTAAAGCCTTCTACACAATGCTTTAAGGCGGTCAAGGCCGCAACTTCAGTGCTATATACCATCAAGCGGACATTCGCAGTTTTCGATGAAGACTGCTTGTCCAAAGTCTTCGGCACGTTTGTAAGGCCGCATCTCGAATATGCAATTCAGGCCTGGAGACCGTGGACGCATCAGGATTACAATCTGCTCGAGAGGATGCAGAGGCGAGCAACAAAATTAATAAGAGGTCAAGGTGCGCTGCCATACGAGATCAGCTTAAGTAACCTTAATCTCTATCCTCTGAGTTAATGGCAGTTGTGCGGAGACTTGATAAAAACTTTCCGTATCGTGCATGGCTTGGACTGCGCCCTTCGGTGCGATGACTTTTTCCGACTGTTCGCTACAACTAACCTCCGGGTACATCCTTTCAGGCTGCGTGCGTCCCTGGGTATCCTGAATGTGAGGAATTATTTTTTCTCCAACCGTGTCGCGGAACCGTGGAATAACCTACCCGAGACGATTGTTATGTCTCAAGCTGTGGAGACATTTAAGTGCCGGCTTGACAGACATATGTTGCAGCAGCAAGCTGACTATGTGACTTTTAAGCCATGAGACAAGTGACATATATCAATCAATGTCTGCATTCACTTAATGCTGTAATTTATTCACATTTTGCTTATTTATCGATTTTTTTATGTACAAATAGGGTGTTCAAAGGCGTAGTCCTGTTTCCCTCAAATACACTGATTGACTTATGAAACTGTCCATAGCGATGTTCTTTCGGACATATTATTGTATGTGACTCGAGGTCACTTTGGTATACTCTCAGAATGATTTTTGTTGAAGTCGAAATGAAGACAATATTTGAAGAGCAAGAGTTTTCCACACGAAGATACGAACCGAAGTCGCGAAATGAAGGAACATTTAATACTTGCAGAATTGAGATCCTTATTTTGAAGAATGACCCTCCGCACCGTCAAGAACAAAACCATAGGACCAAGCGTTAGAAATCGCTAAGTTCGAGATTATTCTACCACTCTCGTACTTGTTTTCTTTCCTAGATTAGAAAGACGGATTTATCTGTTGCATTGCTTAGTCAACCCCTAACCTTGCAGAGTGCAGTGCGATTGTGGACTCTAGGACCTCTTCCGTAGCTACGCCCTGACAGTGACCGAGAAGTCAGTCAGCTTTTTATGCAACGTCACGGATGTGACCATTATCATCGCATTTTGTCGTGATAATACAGAGCTGCAAAGTTTTGGGCCTGTTGCTGTTGAACTTGTATGCAATGGGAAGCAACTTTTATACATTACCGAAACGAATGCGCTGGCATTACGTGAGTATTGGCTGTGATTATGGGTTTTAGAGACATTCACACAAACTTTGCATCAGAGCAGTAACTTCGACGTCTTTGACCACAACCACGACGTTTTGTCTTTAAGATTTGACCAAACGGCAAGTAACGATTTTACAAGCAAGACAGGACTGAAGCGGTGATTGGGTATTGCTTTCACTCCCACCCCCTATATTGCGGTTCGCTATTTCGGTGATTGTTCAGAATTTGGGTTCCTGTTTTGAGTTTCGTCTCAAAGAACTGACTGTTGCATCTTCTTGTCAGTTCTTACGGCATTGTTACACCACAATTTTCGCCTTCTGCTTTTAGATGTTCCAGACCCTCGACAACATGACGGCCTGAGGCTGTTCGAAGTTCTGCGTACCGATCTTATTCCCAACCAGTTTCCGACGGTTTTGCATCAAATGTTATGGCACCTACCTTGGATTGGGGAATCGTGTAAATTGAAAACCGACGACCTGAGTAAATACTTACTTTTGATGATATTGAGAAATTTGTTTAAGTACTCCAAGCTTAATTATTGTGTCAATAGAATTAAGTTACATGTATAAAATAGCCCTTCGGTGCCGAACTTGTCATGCATTGATTATACTTCCGGAAAAAAATGCCGAAATCTCCTAAAGCTTGTTTATATGTATGCTGTCCCGAAGAATGTCCCAAGCAGTACGAATGTACCTGCACAATAAAATGCAAGTTTTTTTGTGGTTAATAATTTTTTTATCATAGGCAAGCCCGTTAAACCAAAAAAATGTGAATGCTGCATCTGTGGAGATATTTGCTGTCCGGTTGACACCTGTGTGGTAATGGAACCGTGCAAGCCAAAGGAGTGCCGTATCAAAGTCAAGTGTCTTGAACCATGTCCTGAGTATGAGTTTTAGTAAATATTTTCATTTTTTACTTAGGCCGTGTCTACCGCCGTGCCCACCACCGTGTCCGCCACCATGTCCGCCACCATGCCCACCACCATGTCCACCACCTCGCACATTCCTGTGCCAGGAGTGTTGTGTCTGTGCTTGCGACCCATGCCCCTAAAATATGAACCCTCCTTACCGCAAGTAGCATAATACACATTTACAAACAATTTTCGTAAACTGGATTACAACCTTGTTATAAAATAGTTGTTTATTATTTCAATAAATATATGCTCCCAAACACGCTTTCGTTCTTTATTTCTGTGAAAGTGAATGCGAATAACTTCATTTGCTAATGAAGATGTGGTCTTAAACATAAAGGACGGGTTTATGTGACCCGATATGTCAAACCATCTAATTATGAGAAGCTGGTGTAATATGGAGTAATCGCGTATCTAAATAGACGGGCGCCCTTATAAAATTGCGCGTTTGTATATATGTCAATCCTAGAATTTTACCACCGTCATAAGGCTCGTGAAAGTGTAATTTCATTTAAAAAAATCGAAAACCATGCTTATCGGTCAATGGTCGCGACCTTTGCGGAAATATTGTCAGTGTTAAGTCTGTGGTTCTGAATGAATTTGTAGAAAATATCTAATAACGAACATAGGAATATGGCACGGCCTAATCTGCCACTGGCTACCGGGGTAGAGTTTTAAGCGCAATGCCAATTAATAAATACGCGTATGAGTGTATGTTACCTTCAGTCTGATACTAGCGGACACAGAATCCTGCGGAAGACTCCAAATGACGGCTCTTAATGTCATTCAATTTCTGGGTGCGACCGATTGCACTGAGCCTTATACTCGTTCAAAAGACTTGAACTACAAATGTTCCGTCGCAGAAATATTATTTCCAAACATGAACGACTTCCATGTCATTTTTAAGTGCAAAAAAGAAGGCTCGATTTGCCGTCCTAATGTACTTGTCACCACAACTGAATGAGATAGTCTAGCTTAATTAAGAGCTGCTACTGCATGTTTAGCCCCACCGGCAAATAACAATTACCACGCCAATAAAAAATCTAACGGCTGGCCAGATTTCGATAAAAGTGCACTGGTTCGAGGCTCTCCATCCGCGTTTATGTTTGAACATACGTTTTGCACTATCGACGACTGCGTTTTTGTCAATTCTGGCCTGTCGTCTAAAAAGGTGGCCAAAATGAGGCAGCAAGTATTCAAATAAAACCAAATAAATGCTTTTATTGCATTGCTGCTAAAAGTCATTGCTTAATTTAAGCAAGATTCGCCCACATTTGTACTCACTAAACATCTTACACACGCATTCGTGAACTATGTCATCAGAGAAAACAAACATATAAATGACTGTACAGGATCACGCTGCCCACAAATTCAGTGTTGGTCCACTCTACTCCAGAGCCAGCACCTAAGACGGCTCAGAGAATTATGAAAGACCATTTGTTTAGTGGTTTATTTTAAATATTCCTACCATTCCCACACCTATATTAGCCTCACATGTCGTGGAGACTATGCCAGTAAGAGAAATATTTATGGCAAATCAGGAATTGGCAAATTTTAATCTACCTTCTTTCCAAAGTAAGTGCGCTCCGTATGGGCTGCAAAAGCTACGATCAACGGCTTGAACGAAGTCGGCCAAGTTAAAAAAGCAAAGTAGAAGGACATTACCCCTACGATCAGGTTTTTACGGTTTCTTATTGAGCATTAATCTTGACAAGTGGTCAAAAAATACACTTCTCAGCTAAATATTAAATATAAAAACATTAGAATGCACTTAGAGGGTGTTTGTTATTTACATGAAGATCGGCACTTTATCGTTGGAAAATTCTATATTCCCTTTCACTATCTATATTTTTACATCCTTAAGAAAAAATAAGGTTAACTCTAACAAGCAAGTGTGAGGATAACATGCCAATCCTAATACAATGCGGGGTCAGTGGTTTTTGGTTTAAGCTCTAACTGGCCAGTTATGGCAGAGAGCACGAAGTGATTGCTGATGTTTTCCCTGCGCCTATATTTGTTTAATCAAAAATTCGTTAAAACTGCCGAAGATAAGCTACATTAAATAATGCATTAAAAGCGGGCTTATTGCACTTAAATACGCGCTTTTGGCTGTTAAGTCTATAAATCTTTTGAGAGTGAGTGGATTCACAGGAAACCGATATTTTTATTTATAAAACTCTTTCACGAACGAAAAAATGTGCTCAATTATTTACACGGTAAAATCCAATTTCAAGCCTTTCCAATATTACGTCTTTTTGATCATGTCAACTAGGAATCCTTTAATACTACCGGATTAACAATCATTAATCACTTTTATTTTGGCCTTTTCAAAGTCGCCTTCCAAAACACGGAAAATTAGTTTGCGGTGGGGGGTTTGAAGTGCTCCTAATACAGATGGGATGCCATATGCCATGAATATTGCTTTCATATTTTACTATCAAATTTCACAAGTCTTATTTAATGTAATTGCTCTTGTTATAATTTCCAATATCATATTTTGCAAAATTTTCCAGATTAGGCCAATATCCATAATTCCCAGTTAACTTCAGTAGACGTTTTTGAACAAAAACTATCCTGAGGATTGCAATTAATTATTTTTCATTCTCATTTTAACTTCACTTGATTTTTCATCCGTTATTCTATGCTAAACAAGGGCCCATGATGATCTACCGGAACATTTGTGAAACATTTTTGCGGCCAAAACTAATCAAAAACTGTCTAAACTAGTTACAGTACATATCAAATATCTAGCGACGTCGAAAACTGTGAAAAAATCTGAACAGAGAACCAGTTTCTTAAGAAGCAAAACACTCTGTAGCCAAACTACAAGGCCGCCTTTAAAACAAGGCGGAAACAGCAGTATGCCTTGGAAGCAATCTGAACTACAAGAGGGGAAGATTTAAGCAAAGGCAAATAATGACGTCCAAAAACCCGCCCGCCTTAACACACCACATTCTAAGTAGCCATCTGCACGAAAAAGTCAGGATTTAACTGGACTAAGGGTATCCGCATACTTGTTAACCGGCAACATGCAAGCCGGTCTTAAAAAGACCTAACCTGTTTGCTTCACCTGAAAAATGGAACAAAACACTGGACTTCATTGAGTCTCCTAGGTACCAGCAGTCGACCAGCATGGGCTGTGAATGCGTGCTTGGTTGACGTGAAAAGACACCGAACCTGAATTAAAGTTCGAAACATCGTCCACCTACAGTAAGTGGGCTAACTCATGAAAAGTCAGCCGAAATCCCGAAAAGCGTTTCCGTTTGAATAAGATTAATTAAGTTGGTTGCTAAAAGTCGTCAGCCTGTAACATAATCCTATAATATGTCAGTTATCATAGGATGCCGGCTTTCGAATGAACTTCCTTCCGGCTGCATGCAAAAAAACCTCTGCAAAAATGACTACTTAAGTAGCCTGCATTATTCTCACTGATTTTCGATGCCCCTAAATGTCCAATTATATTACATGGAAGGTATTTGTAAAGAAATTCACTCGTTTGTTCTTTTGGTAAACAATTGCGTCTTCTTCAAATATTATACTCAAAAGACGGACATAATTCGGTTTTAAAATGTTTATAATTATGGGACTTTTAAATACCGCGAAATGGCCGTTCGTAAATCGTCATATCTCTGCAGTTGCCAATGTGCCTTGTAAAGATAACAATGTGGATCAAATACACTGCTAAATTTTATTAACCCTATATAGCCTCCATTTAGGACCATAGAGAAATGTGTGTGGTTTTCCATACGCGGAAAATATACGGCTTGTATTTTGGGAACCTTGGATCAAATTGTGACAGTGGAGCGAGTTCAAAATTATTCGGGAATTGGAAAAGATTTTGAAAACCGAATTACTCCCACCCTTGGAGTATAAAATTAGAAAAAGATATAATCTACCGAATAAGCAAAAGAATGAATATTTTTATGCATGTCTTACATGAAATATGATTGGACATTTAGAGGCATCGAAAATGGATGATAAAAATTCATGCTACTTATGTAGCCCTTTTTTAAAAAGTGTTGTTTTCGCATGCAACCGGAAGGAAATTCATTTAAAAGTTGGCATCCTGAGGTAACTGAAATATTATAGAGGTTTGATGCAGGCTGACTAGTTTAACACCCCTACTTAATTAATCTTTTCGAAACGGAAACGCATTTCGTAATTTTGGTCAACATTTCATGAGTTAGCTCACCTACTGTATTTAAGTAAAGTCCATTTGGAGTGCTGAAGGATCATTTAACTCGTTTATACCCAATAAAATGAAAAGATAAATTGTTCACTTGTCAAAAACTTGAGTCCCTACATCCAATTTCATCTACACATGAAGGGATCCATGCATTTGAATTCGGTTTTAGCTGGGCCGACAGGACAGCAAGATAAACTGGGACCGTGCAATTTAGGCAGTGGCACAGATTAATCGCATGGCGGTCTCTATTCGTGAACACGGAATACAAGACAGAGCTCGTGGACGGAGGTGGACGTCCGGACCCATAGTACTTCAGGTAGTCTCGCATTAAATTCCAGAGCCTGATAAATTGAACTCAAACTGCTTTGTTGGAATGAAAAATGTTTACCCCAGGTAGAATTTTGTCAAAAACTGCAAAACTGCCTATACAGACAAATCAGAGGTGTACGGAAGTTGTCCAAATACGGGATGGGTCGCGTAAACGGGAGCCTCCCTCCCCCCTTCGGACTCATTCTGAGACCCCCCGCATTGTGATGACAGTCGTCACCCCTAGGCTTGCAATTGTTTGATCTTTTTGCAGCTTTGATGTTGGCTCTGATAGTGCGTCTGACAGGCCAGGTGAGTAAAGTCCTGGTTCCGCCGACTTTCTGTCAGTGGAGAAATCGGAGCTCACGTGATGCTGGTACAAACAGGGCTAGGGTCGCGCAGAAAATTGCAGTGACAAGCTGACGTTAGTTCGTTCCGCAGCAACTAGTCGTAAATCATCTGCTGCAAGTGACTTCGAGTTTCTTATGACGTCAGTGACATAATTGGTAGGCCAGTACGATACATGAGCAGTAGCTGGAAGCGAAGATTTGCAGACAAATACGAATAAAACAAATTTTCTAAGCAACTGGAAGATTTGTCTTTTGAATCTCCACTGAGATTGGCCATAAGGCACCCAAAGTTAAATTA